TTTCAAAATGATTGCCAAAAAATGCAGAACATTTGCAACAGCATATATGAATAAAATGTAATTTAATTTGTCCATAATTGATGAAAGGGATGGAAACCAAGCTGGAAAGCATTCAGCACTGAGAAAGCTGCAGAAATCAATGGTAGGCACTCCTGTAGAAGGTGTTGTGACGCTAAATTAAACTCAAATTTAACTTCAAACCACAATTCCAAAAAGGTACATTTTGCAGAAGAACATCTCAAGTCATTTATATAACAGATTGGGGAAAAAATCACCATGTCAAGATGCGATGCTGAAAAGACTTCAACTACAGGAGACTGCTTGTTGAAATTGAAACCAAAGGCAGTTTAACAAAGCATTATGCATTTAGGGTTGTATATTTATGCAACTTTGTTGTTGATTTGTTATATTTCTTCCTGTAAAAGATTTTTTTCTTTTACTTAACTTTTATACCATATCCCTCAAATTAAAGGCAACAAAGTTGGATAATGGCCTCTGTTTTTACCATTAAAAGAGCCACTAATGTATAGCCTTTTCACAATCACTATATATCACAGAAAATATTGCTATATCTATTCTAAGGGGAGAGTATAAAGAGCATCCATCCTTACGTCTAAAACTTTAACAGTATCTGCGGCCATTTGATGTCAGATACTGTCCTGGGAGCCGTATATTGTATTCGTTATCTAACACCATTAAGAATGGATTTGCTTGCAAGAAATAGATATTATGTCCTGTAGATCTCATATCATAAGACCAGATGTGACCTACTTCTTTACAGGCACAGTATGGCACTTAGCGCAGCAATATCCCCAAATAGGCCCATGAACACCTGTTAGGAAAGGCCTTGCAATGAGATAGCTTCATCTAAGGACACCTTTAAATTCTCAGACAGCACAGATGTGCCCCAGGAAAAGTTTGGAGGATAAAAGGAACAACCTGTACTAAAATGAAATGTGATTTTAGCCCAAAGCATGACACTAAAAGGATCATGTGACACTATTGTAGGTCAAGCATTTACTAATTGCCTGTGCATGCTAAAAAAGAAAAGGAAATGAAACTGTGCAAACATTACCTTTCTTTGCTCCATCCATTTCCGCAGCTTTGCAGCAAACAGTCACCTAAAATGACGCACCATCAACCCTTTAGGATATCTGTGATGCGTGAAGGATCACAGATATAAATCCTGAACCCAACAAGGGTTTTTATGTTAGTCGTTAAGAAAAAAAAAAAACTAGAAAGGTTAAAAATAAATAAATAAATTAGCAGTCGCTCATTTTAAATGCGCGCATTGAGCTGAAAACCATCCGTCCTGCGACGCTCCTGCTTCCCGTCCCGCAAAAAAATTCAATTAAACTAAATCCACTTTATGACTGGCGACCTGTTGCGTAATAGAAAAAAAAAATGTTTTTGTAGACACTAAAACATAACGGTGAGAGTTGCAGAAAGAAAGGTGCAGCCATGTGCGGGAGGGGGGGTTGGTCAGCCCGCCGGGATTAAAGAGGCTGAGCCGGTTAAAAGGATGACAGGAAAGCTGCAGGGTGGAGGAGAACAGACGGATCTGGGATTCAGCTACAAAATTATACACAGAAAACGGACGAATGGTGTCAAGATTAAGCAAACTTGCAATTAAATTTATAGAAAACTACAGAGGAGGATTAGGACCACTGAAAAAATGAAAAAAGTTAACTGATTTCAAATATTATTCAGTTTAATATGGGAACAAAGTCAGAATTATGACTTTAATCTCAGAATCCAGACTTTTTTTTCTCAGAATTCTGACTTTAATCTCAGAATCTAGACTATTTTCTCAGAATTCTGACTGAATTCTGACAGCTAA